CATATTTGTTTAATTTCTTAAACTATGATTTATATCAAAATTTTAATAGGATCGCAGATAGCTACAACAATTTAGTCCATATTTATCCCTTAATATCATTTTTTAGTTAGATATGGAAATTCTCGACCCTTTACAAAAAATTTAAAGCCAATATCTCAATTACATTCAAAAATATGTTCATTTAAACCTGTGTCCTTTAATTTCATCTTTTTCATATTTTAGTATTAAGTATGACAGCACATATTTAAATCTTATATTTACCTATTTTTTATTTGTTTGCTTATCCTTATAATTGAAAGGTCCTATTATGCTTAAATTTTCAAAAATTTATACTATTTTTTACCTAAATTTTTTCGACAGATCATTTCGTTCTGTTTCGTTTATGATCATGTAGGTAAAAATATACAGGTAATGATAATTTCGATTCATTCACTAATAAGAAATATCAATGACTGAATTACAGGTTATAGTAATATAGTCCTAAATGTTAATAGGTAGACAATTCGTAATTTTTTACTTTGGAATACCTGTATCGGAAATGACAAGAATTGGTATATAAGTAAACTTCTCAGATTTTAAGTACCATATTTAATAAATCTACAATGAAGATTACATTAAAGTACGAAGAGTTGTGTTCCGTTTTATGGAGTATATCTTCAAAAGGGCCAGAAAGAATTGAAGACATTTCAAATTATATAAAAACTACATATAGTAGAAAAGTAGACAAAACAGGCATATCAAAAATTGAAAACTTTTTAAAACTTTTTGATGTAAAAAGTAAGTCTGTGGATGGAAATCAAAAGAAATTTCGATTAAAATTTTGTAGTTGGATGGAAACTACTACGGAAATCTCAACTTACAACACATCAACAGGAGCTCCTTGCAAGTCATACGAAGACTTATGTTCAAGGTAAAAAAAAAGAGGGTCACACAAAAACTTTTTTCAATCTCAAATGAGGAAATTGCTGATACATTTAACGAAATGCTGAAAAAGGAAAACCAACATATGGATGTCGTACATATTGCAACTATTCTTCCTAATGCATCACCAAAACGACTTAAGCGAATTGTGGAAAGTATACCAACTCCAACATCATAATCAAATTTTACTGAAGAGGAAGCAATAGCGCTTATGTTGGAACTGGGTCTCAGTCGAAATAAGTACCAAATATTAAGGAAAGCTCTGCATGAAAAAGGACACAATCATACACAACCATCATACAAGGCGATCCAGGAAAAAAAAAACAAACTATCCTACTAAATCAACAAAAAATAATGAAGAATTGAAAGAACTGAGAGCTGCGGAAAAAAGCAGAATCCAAGAAGAATTTAAAGTTCAGATTTGATTAAACATCGACAAACCACTTTCAAGTTGCGGTAGTACAAATGACGGTAATACGCCGAGAAGGTTTTTTCGTGATTTTGAAATTACTTCAAAAATAACTGGAATCGACAAGGAGTTGCTTCGAAGAGTTAAAACTATTTTAATGGCACTGAATAGTAAACATAAAATTAATGAAAATCGATTTGGGGAATACACATCTGAAATTTCTAAATTACTTGTATCTCTGTATCCATGGAGGGAACTAACACCAACAGTACACAAAGTATTGTGTCATGGTCAAATAATAATTGAATCGAATATTCTTCCACTTGGAGAGTTAACAGAAGAAGCCCAGGAAGCGAGGAATCGAGATTTTAAGCATGTTCAACTATTCAGCTCAAGAAAATGCTCCAGGCAATCACAGAATGAAGATATTTTTAATAGTTTACTTCTATCTTCTGATCCTGTTCTTTCAACTATGCGAAAAAGATGGATTTGTTATGAAACTCTATCATCTCAAAACAAGGAAGATTTAAAGGACTTATATTACCTTCTGGATATGTATACCGATATGACAGATTATTTTATAGAAAATAAGTAGTGTTAGGAATTAACTATATAAGTAGGTTGTAAGAATTAATTGTATTATGTTTAAGATAAACAGTTCAAATAAAAAAAGCTATTATACTAACTGATGATATTGTATTAAATTGTGTTTTATATTTCGGTGGGCGGGAAAGGTAATTTGTGTGGGGTGATTTAGGTGTTGTTGTGCGTGGCTCATAATAAAATTATAATTTTTTTTATTTTATATACAATATTATAATAAAATAATTAACTAAATAATTTTTGAAAATTGTCCAAATATTTTATTCAACACCAAATGTATGTTCTGTCATACTTAATACTAAAATATGAAAAAGATGAAATTAAAGGACACAGGTTTAAATGAACATATTTTTGAATGTAATTGAGATATTGGCTTGAAATTTTTTGTAAAGGGTCGAGAATTTACATATCTAACTAAAAAATGATATTAAGGGATAAATATGGACTAAATTGTTGTAGCTATCTGCGATCCTATTAAAATTTTGATATAAATCATAGTTTTAGAAATTAAACAAATATGTAATATATGACAAAATCTTTATTTATGAACAAAACTCAATGAAATTTTCAACTCTTGTTAAATTTGTCATTTCAAATAAGAATATGCAAAAAAAAAATTGAAAAGGTCAAAGGGCATCCCGCAATTCCCAAAAATAGGAATGAAAATCCCAAAAATGGGATTTTTTACTTTTTTGCCCATAGGGTCCACATTTCTTTCAGGGCTGGGAAAATACTTTTGGAGTAAATAGAAAACATATTGAGGTTTCCAAAACTGCTTTCAGTTTTCTGATCCCAGCTTTGGGATTTTAGAACATGTCGCCCAAAGTTGAAGTTTTGATAAAAAATAGGTCATATTCGGAAGGACGCAGTGGCAACATTTTCAAAAAATAGGACAAGTTTTTTACGCCAAAGCGTTCTGCGTAAAGATACCTTTTAGAAAACTATAAAATTGTTATATGTTCTTAATAAAAATTTTATTTTATTAATAAAAGAGTTAAGACACATTTTTGGCAAAAAAACGCCAAAAATCTAAAATTTTTTGAATTTTTAAATTAAAAAACGTATATTTTTGGATCTGTAAACAATATTGATCTGAAATTTTTTGTATATTATTGGAAATTTTGTTGTCTAACTAAAAAGAAAAAATTGAGCCCATTTGGTCCAAAATTACGCCCGGTATTCAAAAAAAGGCGGACCAAGGTATGGTAAATTTTGTATCACTAAATTTTTAAATGCCTATAACTCGGATATTATAAGAGATAAGTAGTATGTCCAAGCATGTTTTTTCAAAATCTCGTCGAGCGCTTTCACAAAATATAAAAATCTTTGTATTTGGGTGAAAAACAAAAAAATGGCACGAGTTTAAAAATTTTACATGTCGTAGGTATCCTACTTTGAGCCGCCACAGCGCCGTCCCTGGGGCATCTGCAGGGTTCATCTTCAAAACTTAAACTCGAATACTCCTTGGCTACGCTCACGCCAAATTTTATCCCGATCGGATCAGCCGTTTAGAAATGCCAGATTTATTTCCAAAAAATTTCCATTCTGCCCCACTGTGGTATGGGCAATTTACGTGTAAAGTAACCCAACTTTTAAAATCGATGTCTTCCGATATGAATGAAATTTGCACTATTGTATAGTAGGCCAGACACAAATTTTCAGCCCTATCGTCAAGAACTGCCGGACTTAGAGTTGGTCAAAGTTAGACATTTTACTTCTTGAGAATGACTTCGGAAGTAGTGAATTTGGAATCAAACAAAAAGGACATCCCTCCTATGCCAAGCCTGTGTTAAAATCATCACTTCTTTAGGTCTTTTTCGGTACTTATTTTGATTTTATTGTGAAAATAATTAGTTGGCGAGTAATAACAGGAGTAGTTAATTGTGTAGTGAGTATTATGTAGAACTAGCAACTGCAAGGTTTTAAGTTTAAATCCTGCTTGTTGTTAATCTCTATTTGTATAGGTGGTATAAGAAGTTGTGGACCGATTTTTCAACAGAATCGATCCTTGCACATATTCAAAAAGGTTCAAAAACACGAATTTCGAGCTATGTCAGTCTTGTAGTAATATCTATATATGTAGCGATATCTATTTGTTATAGTATTGATCCTATGCCCTCCTTAAAGTATGCCAGTCGGCTTAGAATAATTTTCTGAGTCGATTTAGCTATATCCGACCGTTCGTCCATGTTAACCTTGAAACCAAGGTTATTATCGCAATTTTGCAGATAATTCAATAAAATTTGGTACATGGTCTTCTATTTTACATATATGTAGCGATATCTACTTGGTCCTATGCCCTCCTTAAAGTATGCCAATCGGCTTAGAATAATTTTCTGAGTCGATTTAGCTATGTCCGACCGTCCGTCCATGTTAATCTTGTAACCAAGGTTATTATCGCAATTTTGTAAATAATTCAATAAAATTTGGTACATGGTCTTCTATTGCACATGAATGAAGCCTATTACAATTTGTTAAAATAGGTCCATTATTTCATCTAGACCCCCATACAACTGAACCATCCGAATGAGCTTTATTAGCTCAGTATTATTAATATTCTCGTATCTAAACAAAAACTTAGTTGTAGTTCTATACTAGCCTTTATGACGCCGCCGAATTTTGTAATTATAGTGCCTAGCCCCCATACAAAGATCCTCTCAGAAAATCTCTTAAAAGTCCACAATTCGCTTAAAAAGATTAATGTCGCGATAAAATTCAGCATAAATACATTTTATTTAAACGTAAATCTATTTACTAAACTTTATGTGGAACCAATTGTAAGTACCTAAAGCAGTGGACAAATTTTGTCCTTCGAAAACGATTGAAACCACAATAGAATTTAAAAAAATTTATTAGAAATTTCGATCGCATTCGAATACCAGAATATCAACAAAATATTAAATATCTATGAGCTTATCAGTAAAGCTACTAAAATTAAGTCAGTTCGCAATGAAAATTAAACCGAATATAATTTGCAACCGCAAACATATATTTTTGCACGTTTCAAAACTTTGCAAATTTATGTCGAATTTCAGTATAAATAGCCAAAAAAAATTTAACATAGTCATCAGTTCCGCTAGTGGAACAATCCACGTAAGAAGTTTTTACGGTCGAGGAATTAACACAATAAAGTTGTTTTAAAAGTTATAAGTAAATCTATAATAAAAATGGCTGACAAACACGATCTGCTACTGCTGTTCGAGCGCCCCAATGAACCTGTGTTCATGGAAAAAGGCAAAACTATCACGGTCTTTGACGTTCCCGATAAATTTTTGACCGATCGTTACCGCCCCATTGGTAGTGAGGTGCAAACCCGCTTTGGTGAGAAGGCTGAGAAACGCATTCCAGTACGCGATGTTTCACTGCCTGATTTGCGCATACCCATGTCATTGGGGCGTGATGAACAATTCTCATTGTTTATTCCTCGTCATAGGCGTATTGCTGGACGCTTGATTGATATTTTCATAGGATTACGTTCAATAGATGATTTGCAAAGTGTTGCTGTTTATGCTCGTGATCGTTTAAATCCTTTCCTCTTTAATTATGCCCTCTCTGTGGCATTGTTACATCGTCCAGACACTAAGAGCTTAGATTTGCCTTCATTTGCTCAAAACTTCCCCGAAAAGTTTGTGGACTCCCACGTATTCCGCCAGGTGAGAGAAGAAGCTACCGTTGTTTCCGAAGGCTCTCGCATGCCAATTATTGTGCCCAGAGATTATACTGCTTCTGATTTGGACCCCGAACATCGTTTGTGGTATTTCCGTGAAGACATGGGTATTAATCTACATCACTGGCATTGGCATTTAGTGTATCCTTTTGAAGCTGGCGATCGTAGTATTGTAGCCAAGGATCGTCGTGGTGAATTATTTTATTACATGCATCAACAGATTGTTGCTCGTTACAATTTGGAACGTTTTAGCAACAATTTGGGCCGAGTCGCCAGATTCAATAATTTCCGTCAACCCATTCCTGAGGGTTATTTCCCAAAAATGGATTCCTTGGTAGCTAGTCGTGCTTGGCCACCTCGTTTTGACAACACAGCCCTTTCTGACCTTAATCGTGAATTGGATCAAATTAACTTGGATATTTCAGATCTGGAAAGATGGCGTGATCGCATTTTCGATGCCATACACCAAGGTTTCGTAGTAGATGAAAGTGGCAACCGCATTACTCTGGATGAACAACGTGGTATCGATGTTCTGGGTAACATTATGGAATCTTCAATTATTTCTCCCAATCGTTCATTTTACGGAGATCTTCACAATATGGGTCATGTCTTCATTTCTTATGCCCATGATCCAAATTATCGGCATTTGGAATCGTTTGGTGTTATGGGTGATGCAGCCACCGCCATGCGCGATCCTGTTTTCTACAAATGGCACGCCTATGTAGATGAAATATTCCAAGAACACAAAACCCGCTTAAATCCCTATACTCTGCCAGAATTACAATATGATGGAGTTACCATTTCTGGTGTTCAGGTGGCAGCCGATGGTGGTCGTCCCAATGTTCTGTCCACATTCTGGCAACAATCTGATGTTGATCTATCAAGAGGAATGGATTTCGTACCCAGAGGCAATGTTTTTGCTCGCTTTACTCATTTGCAACATGTACCCTTCACATATACTATTAATATCAATAATGAAAGTGGAGCTCAACGTTTCGGTACAGTACGTATATTTTTGGGACCAAAGACCGATGAGAGAGGACAACAGTGGTTGTTTAGAGATCAGCGTTCAATGATGGTAGAATTGGATAAATTTGTTGTTACACGTGTGTCTATTTATAACCATAGATCTAAATTTTCATAACTTTTTAAATATTAACAATTTTCTTTTAGTTAATCCCGGTCAAAATACCATTCGCCGTCGTTCTACTGATTCCAGTGTTACCATACCTTTCGAACGTACTTTCCGAAATTTGGATGCTAATCGTCCTGCCGCTGGTTCTGCCGAAGAATTGGAGTTCAATTTCTGTGGTTGTGGTTGGCCACAACATATGTTGATTCCTAAGGGTCTGCCCGAAGGACTGCGCTGTGAACTCTTTGTCATGGTGTCTAATTACGAAGTAGATCGAGTAAGTACTGCTTAAACAAAATTGTAGTAATTAATAGAAAATCACCTAACATTTTACTTTTTTATAGGTCGATCAACAATTGGTGGGTGCTTGCAGTGATGCTGCTTCCTATTGTGGTGTTCGTGATCGTCTATATCCCGATCGTCGTGCAATGGGTTTCCCCTTCGATCGTTTGCCTCGCCAAGGAGCTGATCGTTTGATAAATTTCTTGACACCCAACATGAGCATTGTAGACGTTGTTATTCAAAACGATCCCAATCGAATCGTACAACGTCAAAACTAAGTGATTTTGTTGAAAATGTGGACTATCTTGATGACGAATTTGTGGATTTTCTTGTGGCCTTTTGATTTGATAAACCTATAATATAGATATATAATTTTTTAAATAAGTGGATTTGATACATAGGTTGTAGTACATAGATATGTATGTATGAGTGTAAATAGTATAAGTTGCAATTTGAAATACATATTCCAAAAATACGAATTTCAGTGGCTGTTCTTTTGGGTTGGCTTTTACCGACATATCAAACGAAATGTAACAGATATGTAGACATATGTACTTAATTAGTTCAAGCACATTCAAAAAGATCGATTAATACTTTTTTCCGATAGATCCCAGCAAAAATAAAACGAAATACTTTCAATAGAATAACATTCATCACCACTTCAAAAGTAGGACAAAGTGAATTTTTTAACTTCTTAATGTTAATATTAATATTATTCTTACGTTAGTATTATTAAAGTCTTATTAGTTGTATTCTATAATACTTAAATTTCAATTCCAATGGAGTAAATTGTACTTCTTTTCGCTTCTTCGGGAGTTTTTTTGTTGGTGGGATATTGCTCTCTAACTAACTAACTAACTAACTAACTACTAACTACTAACTAACTAACTAACTAACTAACTAACTAACTAACTAACTAACTACTAACTAACTAACTAACTAACTAACTAACTAACTAACTAACTAACTAACTAACTAACCTAACTAACTAACTAACTAACTAACTACTAACTAACTAACTACTACTAACTACTAACTAACTAACTAACTAACTACTAACTAACTAACTAACTAACTAACTACTACTAACTAACTAACTAACTAACTAACTAACACTAACTAACTAACTAACTAACTAACTAACTACTAACTCTAACTAACTAACTAACTAACTAACTAACTAACTAACTAACTAACTAACTAACTAACTACTAACTAACTAACTAACTACTAACTAACTAACTAACTAACTACTAACTACTAACTAACTACTAACTAACTACTAACTAACTACTAACTAACTAACTCTAACTAACTAACTAACTACTAACTAACTAACTAACTAACTAACTAACTACTAACTAACTAACTAACTACTAACTAACTAACTAACTACTAACTAACTAACTAACTAACTACCTAACTACTAACTAACTAACTAACAAACGAACTAACTTACTAACTAACTAACTAACTAAACTAACTAACTAACTACTAACTACTAACTAACTAACTAACTAACTAACTAACTAACTAACTACTAACTAACTACTAACTAACTATAACTACTAACTAACTAACTAACTAACTACTAACTAACTACTAACTAACTAACTAACTAACTAACTAACTAACTAACTAACTAACTAACTAACTAACTAACTAACTAACTAACTAACTAACTAACTAACTAACTACTAACTAACTACTAACTAACTAACTAACTAACTAACTAACTAACTAACTAACTAACTACTACCTAACTAACTAACTAACTAACTAACTAACTAACTAACTACTAACTAACTAACTACCTAACTAACTAACTAACTAACTAACTAGGTAACTAACATTAGTTACCTTTGTGAATAACCATGTGGTTTTTTTATTTTTTTAAAAATGGTCCATTTTGGAAAACTGAGTGCCAAATATTGAAAAAAATTTATTCTTAAGTTAAAAAATAATTTCTTTGATAGATATCCCACTCGTATCGCATTATGGGACTATAAAGCCCGTAAATTTTCTTTTTTTGGAAGCAATAAAAAAATACCTGCCTGAGCTCCTTTGGACAATTTTTGCTAGGACCAATTGGTGAAAAGTTACACTCATTTAAGTAAAACCGTGTATGACCAAAATGTCCAACTTTGATCCCCTCTAAGTCCGGCAGTTCTTGACCGATAGAGCTGAATATTTGTTCCTGACCTACTATCCAATAGTACTGACCTTGGTACAAATTTTCAAAAACGTTTTTTTTGAGTTGGGTCACTTGACATGAAATTTGGTTGCACATATTATTCGCTCGTATTTTTTTATAACATAGTAAATAGGAATATCTTTAAATATTAGTTGAATTATTTCGATTGTTTATTAGATTTACTATTTATGTATTTAAATTGAAAGTACATGTATGTAACATATTTGGTATTATTAACGTTAAATTTTAACTGTCTCTTAAGTGTTTATACGGTTTGTTTTCATAACTTTATTAATTTTGACGTTGAACAACTCTATTGGGATCATGACGAATGACAACATCGACAACACTCATGTTAGGAGTCAGGAAATTAACCAGACGGTCAGCACCTTGACGAGGCAAACGATCGAAGGGATAACCCATGGGACGACGATCGGGATAGAGACGATCACGAACACCACAGTAGGAAGCAGCATCACTGCAAGCACCCACCAATTGCTGATCAACCTTTAAAATACCAAAGAAATAAATATTACAACATACAATTAAAATGCAAAAGTAAAAATAGTTTAAATCTACTTACACGATCATCTTCATAGTTGGACACCATGACAAACAATTCACAACGCATACCCTCTGGAAGACCCTTAGGAATCAACATATTTGCAGGCCAGCCACAACCACAGAAATTGAATTCCAATTCATCAGCAGAACCGGCAGCAGGACGGTTGGCATCCAAATTACGGTAAGTGCGTTCAAAAGGTATGGTAACACTGGATTCCGAAGAACGACGACGAATGGTGTTTTGACCAGGATTCACTACAAAGCAAATAATTTTAATTATCACTCGTAAATCTGTTATCTGTTATAACTTACATGACACAATGAATTTGTCCAATTCAACCATCAATAAACGTTGATCTCTCAACAACATCTGTTGACCTCTCTCGTCAGTCTTGGGTGCCAAGAATATACGCACTGTACCGAAACGTTGGGCACGACTATTGTTATTGACATTGATGGTATAGGTGAAGGGAGTATGTTGCAAATGAGTGAAGCGAGCAAATACATTGCCTCTAGGTACGAAATCCATGCCTCTGGATAAATCAACATCAGATTGTTGGAAGAATGTTGATAGAACATTTGGACGACCACCATCAGCTGCAACCTGAACACCGGAAATAGTTATGCCATCATATTGCAATTGAGGCAATGTGTAGGCAGGCAAACGAGCCTTATGCTCTTGGAAGATATCATCAATAAATGCATGCCATCTATAGAAAACAGGATCACGCATAGCAGTAGCAGAGTCACCCATAACACCGAAAGATTCCAAATGGCGATGATCAGGATCATGGGAATATGAAATGAATACATGACCCAAGTTATGGAGATCTCCGTATAATGAACGATTGGGAGAGATAATTGAAGACTCCATCATATTACCCAAAATATCAATACCACGTTGTTCATCCAAAGGAATTCGGTTGCCACTTTCATCGATAACGAAACCTTGATGTATGGCATCATAAATGCGATCACGCCATCTTTCCATATCAGCAACATCCAAATTAATTTGATCCAATTCACGTCTTAAGTCGGAAATGACGGTGTTATCGAAACGTGGTGGCCAGGCACGACTAGCTACAAGGGAATCCATTTTTGGGAAGTAACCCTCAGCAATGGGTTCACGGAAATTGTTATATCTGGTAACACGAGCCAAATTGTTGCTAAAACGTTCCATATTATAACGAGCAATGATCTGTTGATGCATATAATAGAACAATTCACCACGACGATCCTTGGCAACAATAGAACGATCACCAGCTTCGAAAGGATACACCAAATGCCAATGCCAGTGATGTAAATTAATACCCAAATCTTCACGGAAATACCACAAACGATGTTCGGGGTCTAAATCAGATGCAGTATAATCTCTGGGTACCACAATTGGCATACGAGAACCCTCAGCGACAATAGTGGCTTCTTCCCTCGCTTGACCTAATACTTTGGAGTCAACGTATTTTTCGGGGAAATTTTGGGCAAATGAAGGCAAATCCATGCCCTTGGTATCGGGACGATGTAACAAAGCCACAGAGAGGGCATAGTTGAACAGGAAAGGATTCACACGATCACGAGCATAAACAGCAACACTTTGCAAATCATCAATTGTACGTAGACCCATGAAAATATCAATCAAACGTCCAGCAATACGTCTGTGACGAGGAACAAATAGAGAGAACTGCTCATCACGACCCAAAGACATTGGAATACGTAAATCAGGCAAAGCAATATCACGTACTAGAATACGTTTCTCAGCCTTATCACCGAAACGGCTCTGGACTTCATTGCCAATAGGACGATAACGATCGGTTAAGAACTTATCGGGAACATCGAATACCGTGCTGGTTGTACCCTTTTCCATGAACACAGGTTCATTGGGACGCTCGAACAAAAGTAATAGATTTTGTTTGTTGGCCATTATTAGTGAAATTAAATTTTACCCGAGTAAGTGTTTTAAAGAAAATATAACACAATTTGACTTAGTTGTTTCACTTTTGAAACTGATGACTACAGTTTAAATTTGACTTTATATATACTAATTTTCAGCTATGTATGCTTACGCATATAACGCCTATCACTTTACGCACAAATTACTTGATGACTGATATCTTATGTGGTTTAGGGTTATTATCAGGAAAAATATTTCAGTTGAAAGAAATAGTTCAAATGGTTGTTGTCATATTTTGAATTATGATAAAGATAAAAATATTGAATGTATTATTATTTTAGGTGTTATTTTGTATCATTTAAGTTGCGATTTAAAAGATATTATCATAATAATAATTGTGGTCGGAGGAAGATTATGATTTTATTATTCCCATTTCCTAATATAGATCGATGAAAGTGGCAACCGCATTACTCTGGATGAACAACGTGGTATTGATATGATGGAGTATTCAATTATCTCTCCTAATCGTTCATTGTATGGTGATCTCCACAACATGTGTCATGTATTTATTTCATATTACCATGATCCTGATCATTGTCATTTGGAATCTTTTGGGGTTAATAGAAATGTTCGACGTTCAAATTAAATCAAATATTAAGTACATAAATGAGAATAAAACCAATTCAGATATGACATTAACATGAAAGTATTGTTGTGAATTTCTGTTTAAACAAGATATTTCAGTTTATGTACTTCGATGAAATAGGTCTTTCAGCTGCCTTTCTTTTAATATACAAATTTCCCTAATATGTATAGTTTCTCGGGGTTGTTATCCCTACCTAATAAATTTTTCCGTAATTGGCTTTTAATATCTATATATTATGGTTTTCATCATTCCCTACATCGTTAATAATACCTATTTTGGCTATATTGTGTTTGGTACCTTTAATAAAGAAAATTATTCAGTCCAAATTCATGGAAACGGATATATTGTTGAAGAACAATGTCTCGGAATTCCATGAAATTAAAGTGGAATTAAACATATTACAGGCGTCAAAAGTATATAATATTCATAAGTACTAGTCTATGTACTAGTCCATTTATAATTCTATTGATCAGTCTATAAACTAGTCTATTGAAAGATTGACGGATTTAACTATTGAATAGTCTAAGAACTAGTCTATTGAGTAGTATATATATATGTAGGTGACTATATTGGCTAGTGGCCCAGATTTTTGTCTAGCCCATCGAATGGCCTATAGGTAGTCTATGGATTATTGACTGGTCTGTGGGATATACGATCAATTTCACAAAATAATTTGTATACCTGTATACAAACTCAAGTATAATATTATTCCGATATCATTAATCATTCATGCAATATTTAGAATTAAGTGATTTTCGGAAGTGGACTTTATATGGAAGCTATGAGCAATTATATTTTGTGTATGTACGCAGCATATTCGTGTTATATTTTGTCCACATGGTTATTTGTTAATGAATTATGTCCGTTTAATAGATTTTCGGAAGTGAAGCCTATATGGGAGCTATGGTAAATTATGGACCGATCAAGGTTTTAGTTGGCAATACGATTTCTATTAATATTTATCTGTGCAAAATTTTGTGTTAATAGCGATATTCTAGAGGGAGTTACTAACAATAATTCCATTTCCGGGAGTATGTAAAAATTTGTATGGAAACTATATGAAATTTTTTACCGTTTCTAATAATTTTCAACTATGTTAATCTCTGGATAAAGTCCTGTGATAACATTGTTTGAAATTGCTTCTATAATTTCTGACTAATCAAGAATGAGAACAAAACGTAATATTTTCATGGGTTGTTTCGGAGCAATTTTGATGATTTAAAAAGAGGAAACTTCTCGAAAGAATGTTTAATATAATTATTGAAGATTCTAATCTCTCAGATAACTGGGGTTATCTAAACATTTATTTCAACAAACATCCGCACAGACAGACAGACGGACACGGCTAAATCGACTCCTCTATAAGTATAAGGACTCGGAATATATACACTTTATAGGGTCGGAAAATTATATTGTAGAATTTACAAATATATTCTTATCACGAAGGTGAAGGGTATAAAAATATATATATATTATTTACTACTAGACCAGCATAACTTTTTTAACTGAGTTCTACAAAATATCATATGTTAGGTTTGATTGAAAGGAGGTTGTATATTATTTCAGAACCAAAAATACGCTATCAGGCTTATTGTACTCTCCTTTTCATAGACAATTTTGGTTGAAAAACCTAATATACTATAGTATCGTTCAATGTTAAGACATTTAGTTTACTGGATGTAGTTCTTCCTTAGAGTTTTCCACTCAGAGATGTAATATCTGGTATAACAACGCAATGTTGTCAACATTGCAACAACTCGTTGTCGAAAACTAAATTTTATACACATCCGTTGTATAAATGTTAACAAACGTGGTAAGCTTACTATTGGCAACGGATTGTTTGTCAATAGTGAGCTTACCACGTTTGTTAACATTTAGACAGCGGATGTGTATAAAATTTAGATCTCGACAACGAATTGTTGCAATGTTGTCAATATTACATGGTGTTGTCGTACGTATGTATATACTTTGACAACGGATGGCATTGAAAAATTATAAACAGTGTCAATTTGGTACCAGGCGTGTATATTTCTTTTTCCCTCTGTTTATTCCCCGTTTCATTATTCCAGGTGGCCCTATGGGATTCTCAAGTCTATGTTTTTATTTTATTCAACCCTCGTTGCATCGAATGATTTTACATACTACATACTTGGTAGTCGATTGTCCACAGTCCAATTTGGTCTTCGATTTAACATTATCAGTTGATAGTGCCCAAATTATTTCTAGCTATCGGAAAATATATATACTAACCTCTGTTGATGCCATATTCAATATAATATATTTCATAGAAAAGTCTTCCGTCTGGAATCGAGTATTGTGACTAGGAAGACGGTAATATATTCCAGTTTTCGGGTTTTCAATCTAGATTCCCAAACCCGTTTTGTCTTCCAGTTTATAGCCATTCGTGTAGCAAGAGATCCCCGCAATGTTCTGCTATCTGGAACCACCAACAGTTGGAGAAAATTTCAATATTTGGTGAGCTGGATCTTTGCGAGGCGCTTTCAGTGTTATATCAAACATTAATGTGCCTTTCTTATGATACCAAAATTTCGTATATTTTCTTTGTAAGAAATTAGGACAAAATCGCAAAAACCTCATAAAAGGACTTTTTTATCCTTTGATCCAGCTCAACAAATATTGATGTCTGGACAAAAAATTTGAGAAATGGTATCTTAGAATGAACTAAATTGTAATTTTCGGCGGGAACATCAGCAACTTACATTTTGGTGCCACCCTAATGTATATATATTATTTTCATGTTCCTATAAATAAGAACGAACATTTCTTTCTCACTTTAAATTGAAAACAATAAATATTTTTTGAACTTATTTATTGTTTTTAATATAAAACACTAGAAAAAAATTGTTCGTACGCATTTAGAGGAACAGGCCCTATCTTAAAGTAAGAAGGTAGAAGATCCCTTAAACATCATGTTAGTAGATTTTAGATAAATTCGCGGTTGAGAAAAAAATATACTACAATCAATATTAAGCTCAAAAAAATAAATTAATATTTGTGTGACACCAGCCAAAAAACTATTTTTACTATTTTATCATTTTCACTAAACTATTATTTTACACCAAAGTGTTTTTTAGTAAAAAAAACTAAACCGCCAAAAAAAGATAACAATACTTATGCGTAAAGTGATAACGTGCGTAAATATTAATGCAGTTTAGTATAAATATTAAGGAAACTTCAACTAAAAGTATTAGTTTCAAAAGTGAAACACACTAAGTAAGGTTGTTTTAAAATTCAAACCATTTCGATATATAATTCTTCAGATTTTTTAATAAGTCGAAAGAATCCTTCTAAAAATGGCCAACAAAGAAAATCTGTTACTTTTGTTCGAGCGTCCCAATGAACCTGTGTTCATGGAAAAGGGTAAAACCAGCACGGTCTTCGATGTTCCCGATAAGTTCATGACAGATCGTTATCGTCCTATTCGCAGTGAAGTCCAGAGCCGTTTCGGTGATAAGGCTGAGAAACGTATTCTAGTACGTGATATTGCTTTGCCTGATTTACGTATTCCCATGTCTTTGGGTCGTGATGAGCAGTTCTCTCTATTTGTTCCTCGTCACAGACGTATTGCTGGACGTTTGATTGATATTTTCATGGGTCTACGTACAATTGAAGATTTGCAAAGTGTTGCTGTTTATGCTCGTGATCGTGTGAATCCTTTCCTTTTCAACTATGCCCTCTCTGTGGCTTTGTTACATCGTCCCGATACCAAGGGCATGGATTTGCCTTCATTTGCCCAAAATTTCCCCGAAAAGTACGTTGACTCCAAAGTATTAGGTCAAGTGAGAGAAGAAGCCACAATTGTCCCTGAACGTTCTCGCATGCCAATTGTCGTACCCAGAGATTATACAGCCTCTGATTTGGATCCCGAACATCGTTTGTGGTATTTCCGTGAAGATTTGGGTATCAATTTACATCACTGGCATTGGCATTTGGTGTATCCTTTCGAAGCCGGTGATCGTTCTATTGTTGCCAAGGATCGTCGTGGTGAATTGTTCTATTACATGCACCAACAGATCATAGCGCGTTATAATATGGAACGTTTTAGTAATAATTTGGCTCGTGTTACCAGATTTAACAATTTCCGTGAACCCATTGCTGAGGGTTACTTCCCGAAAATGGATTCACTTGTAGCTAGTCGTGCCTGGCCACCACGTTTCGATAATACTGTCATTTCCGACTTAAGGCGTGAATTGGATCAAATTAATTTGGATGTTGCTGATATGGAAAGATGGCGTGATCGCATTTACGATGCCATACATCAAGGTTTCGTTATCGATGAAAGTGGCAACCGCATTGTTTTAGATGAACAACGTGGTATTGATATTTTGGGTAATATGATGGAGTCTTCAATTATCTCTCCCAATCGTTCATTATACGGTGATCTTCACAACTTGGGTCATGTATTCATTTCATATTCCCATGATCCTGATCATCGTCATTTGGAATC